AACGATAAAGCCACCAAAGCTCGCTACAATTGCAAGGCTACTAGATCTCGCTTGTAAATAACATTTCACATTTTAACGGAGTGTTTGCTGATTCACGCCAGCCACGAGACCTCACATAATCCTCCCCATACCATTGTCATCGAATGAAGCTAGATATGTATTGTCCTCTAGCTTGACACAGGTTGAATACTTGCTCGAACAAAGTGGAATGTCTCTCATACACGACTCGGATGAACACAAGATGACCCAAAGTAGGGGAATTCGAAGGGAACTGATACTCGCATGCTGTTAGAAATCGTGGGAAGAATGTTCCTTGATTGATCGCTCCTACTTTCATGGAGAAGTCGGCTCAAGGCCTCAACCCAGCTCTCAAGTCTTATCCGCCGATATGCAGTTATCAGCTTGCTTACATAATCTAATGTGGTCGAAGATTGATCGTATATTTGGGCTGATATTCTGACAACTTTTTTAATCTTAGAACATACCTTAGTGCTCGAATTATCTTACTCATGTCCGTCCCGTGTAGTCCGCACCCCTTATAGGACAAGAAGAGCAGAAACGGTTCGGGACTGCTTTACTATCAGAGGACCTAGGAACAGCCGAGCCCGTTTCCGGTCCTTGCCGTGCTAAGTCTGTCCTACGCAGTATATCAGGCAGGTTGATACTTGGCCCGTTGTTCCTCGACTCTATGCCATTCCACTACTTGCCATGCAGACCACAGACATGGACACTGGAGACCCTGCAGTCGTGACGGTGGCTTTCGGCATCTCATTTCATGGTCATGTAGGTCAAGGCACACTTCTTCTTTCTCAGATTACAGAACCTTCCTCGCCTACTCAAGTTCTGGTCACCGCCGGAGCCGGGAAAAATTTGCCAACCCTGACGTCATCGTCATCGGAGCTTCGTCAAACCACTTGGAGAGGAGCAGAGGACGGAAGCTCACAGATCGATGACCCGTCGATGCCAAGCTCTGTCCTCGACACTTCTGATGTTGCTCGCTTCTCTCCACTCTCACCTGCGCCACCCTTGTCAAACAAGGTTCCATATCCATACCCAAACTCGACGCAGAGTGTTCTTTGGGGCACTGGAACAGGGTCTTTCGTCGGGGGCACTGCCTTTCCAACAGTAATGCTAGGCGACCCTGTCCACGTAACAAGTACCGGGCATGACTTGTCAACATCGCTGTCCTTACTGCTGTGTGGAGTTTCACTCTGTCTGAGCATTGATTTCTTTCGAAGGTAATATAAGATCTACGTTAGCTATGTCATATATCGATAGATTTACAATTTGATCATGAGATAATTGGCATATGAAACAAACAATATTAAAGTCACTCATATCGAGCTGAAACACCTATAAGCTCCTAGTCGGACCTCCTATATCATGACTTGACGTTCACTTAGTTAACGTTGACGATGAAGCGGTTTCTGAATGGGCACGAGACCTAGCTGAATTTGGAAACCTACGTCGAATTCGGACACAAAAGGCATCAAAGCACAATGCAACAGGCTATCTTAGGCTGAACTACATTATGCAGCTATACAGCTCTTAGATAATTACGATAGGGACGTGTCTGTAGATAACTATGAATGCCATCACCGACAGTCTCAGATAAGCCCGAGGTTAAACCGATGCTGTCTCCCTTCTTGGTCGTAGAGCTAGTCTCCGTTCCGAACCGTCGTCCTCTTGCTGCTTGCAACTGCCTGAGTTCAAAGGACCAGTCCTGGAACTGCTCGAGATACGTTTTTACGCCATCGAGATCCCTTCGTGTACCATCAGCCCATGGGACCTCATGCGGGCACAGGTAGAGCACAGTCAACTTACCATCGGAGCGCCGTGTTCTGCTCCGTGAGCCGGCCGATCTGCTTTGATGCAGAATCCATCTGCTTTTCGAGTCGCGAGTTGCTTTGCTGTAGCAACTCTCTGCTTCCCTCTAGCGCAATTACTTTCTCCTCCAGGCAGTCAATCCTGCCTTAATAGGAACCTGACTTCTTTTCCAAGTCAAATGCTCGAGCATCCAGCCGAGTAGAACAGAGCTGGAGCTGATCTGTCCAATATAAGATCCAAGTCCGGCTCAAAGGAGTATTCATTGACGTCAGTGAACAAGTCGGAGGAATCAGCTGTCATCTGTTCAGACCCTAGGTTGTTTCGATATAAGATCGCCGGTGTAGGGCTCGAAGGAAAGGTCCATTCTCCCAAGTAGCATTAGGGTTGTCAGGGCCACCAGCACAGAGCGCAACTTCGCTGTCTGGAGGCGTGATGCTGTAGATACTCATACCCGGATGGCAAGACTGGTCATCCATCGTTGTACGAAGTATCTCCCAAGCAGTCCTCTAGCTTGACTAAACAGGTTTTATACTATACATTGCTTAGAATCATCTTTGTGCAGTTATCATGAAACATGTTTCATGGGCTATGCTAACGATGTGCTACCAAAAAAAGATTACGATTTCAAAGGCGTCCGCGTGCAATACAGTGTAATGCTATATTTAGCAAACTTGACCCAGTTTCGAAGACCCAGGCGTATACTTAGATCAAGCATACGGCTGAGGACTTCCTTCGCACGACCGGTAACGGAATCTCAGACATCGGACGATCTGTCTATCTCGCACACGCACAAAAGTCTGTTCAATGCTATATGGAGAGTACTAACTAGAAATGAAATGTAAAGAGATCAGCTGTAATGATGGCCCGGTTCGGACCTCGGACCGGATCTTGTCACTTTCAATCCATGCCTCTCCTATTTACAGCTGCTTTTCTACTATACCTAAGGGACTTTCACTGTCGGTATGCCGAGAAGTGTATCCCTGACTATCCAGTATAGGGCTAATCCGTTCGAAAAAGGGAGTCGACTTTCCGCCAATCTCGCACCCTCAACCTGTTAAGTCTGGTTGTCTGAGAATCTCGAGCTCAAAGAAGAGTTGCAATGGGAGCGAGAGCGCTTCTGGTATACTAGCCGACTTCGATAGACTCGTTGCGCCTGAGGATAGCTTAAGTCAGCCCAAAGACGATCATATGCCCGCCAGGTACAGTGAGAAGGACGAATGGAGGCTTGTGATGACGCAGTGATAACGGCAAGAAGATAGTGGCCCGTATTGAACTGGCACTTGGCTGTTACCATCTTCTTTCGAGTACTCGTCCTTTCCACCCAATGCTTGAACACACTTGTGGTAACCTTGACTTTTCGAACATTATCAATGAACATCTGGGTTGTCTATACTCTGGACTTCCACATTATCAAGTATGAGGTATTCATAATCATAGTACGAGGTGCCCATAGAAAGTACCGAGTCGCAGATTTAGTAAGGCTTGTCGACATTACAAAGGTCAGTATGCTTGCATTGTGTGAGTGATCCAAGGCAGACGTTGGAGATGGCGCCGAGATACA